CTGACCTGAAGGATGCCCTTGTGCTGCCACTGTACAAGGGCAAAGGTAGCAAGCAATGTTGCACAAATTATCGTGTTATCAACTTGCTGAGTTATGTGGGCAAGGTGATTGCCCGAAACTGCTCACTTGCCTCGTCAGTCAGGTTGTGGAACCTAACGTGGCTGAAGGGCAGTGTGGATTCCGCTCGGGTTGCAGCACTATAGGTATGGTATTTGCGGCTCGTCAGTTGCAGGATAACTGCAGAGTACGACACTAGCCGTTGTACTCGCATTTTGTTGATTTCGCTAAGGCATTTGATACGGTGAACCGCGAGGCATTGTGGCTGGTATTGGGTAACTGGTTGACCGCGTAAGTTCGTAAGTTTAATTGAATGCCTGCACAGTGGTATGCGGGCGAGAGTGCAGATGAGTGGAGAGACCTCAGATGACTTTGCAGTTATCTCTGGTGTGAAGCAAAGCTGTGTCTTAGCTCCTGCTCTGTTTAATATATATCTTCATGCAATGATGTCTTGTGCTTTTGATGCCGTTTGTGCTTACGGTGTTCGTGTGGAGCACCATATTGATGGTGGGTTGCTGAATATCCGTCGTTTCGGTGCGAGAACCCTAGTCTGTGATACAACTATCCGTATGTTGCTGTTTTCTGACGACTGTGCGTTGTTTGCACACAGCACGGATGAGTTGCAGCATATGACTAGTGCTCTGGCTTCGACAGAGGCCAAATTCGGGCTCACTATCAACACAAGCAAAACCGTTTGTCTCTTTCAGCCTTCACCGGAAGTGCAATCTTCAATATTGACGCGAATCAGCATTGGTGTTGAAGTATTGGAAACCACCTCCCGCTTCTACCTTGGGAGTGTGATGTCTACTGATCAGCAGGTGTACAGTGAGCTTCGTATCCGCGTGTCGAAGACAGCGACGGCATTCGTGAGGCTTGAATACTGCTTGTGGAACAAGCACCAGCTTACTGTTGGCACGAAGCTGATGGTGTACAAATCCATGGTGCTGTCCATTCTTCTATACGACAGTGAAACGTGGACGATGTATTGGCGGAATGTGCGATATCTCGAGCGGTTCCATCATCAGCGTTTGCGACGGATTTTGCACATGGGTTAGGGCGACAGAGTTGCTGATACGGAATTGTTGCAACAAAGTGGGATGTATGCAGTGGACTGCATACTTTTTCTGAGACACCTGAGGTGGCTCAGTCATGTGAGCCGTATGGATTCGACGCGGATACTGAAACAACTATTATATGGTCAGCTGAGTATTGGGAAGCGGCATGTGGGGAAACCAAAATTACGTTACCAGAACATGATCAAAGTGAGCCACTCCCGTTCTAATCTTGATTGCAGGTCATGGGAATCGAAGGCGGTTGATCGGCGTGCATGGCAAGATCAAATCACGAAGGCAGTTTCCTAAGTGCGGGAGAAAGATCTCATGCATGCAGAGAAGAAGCGGCAATTGCGGAAGCGGCAAGCATCGATGGGTTGTTCTCCATCGTCATCGAGCGCATGGTGCTTTAGCAGATGCGGTCGCGAGTGCGTGAGTCAGGCAGGCCTAGTGAGCCATGAGCGAGGCCACTCGGGACCACTACCGAAGCGACGACGGGTCCTGCAGAGAACATAGGAAGAACCGGCGCAGCGTTTGTAGGCACGCTGCATTCTATTTACTAACCCCGTGTTTGCATGCTAAGTCTATTTATTTCAGGTAGTGGATTTTCAATTTTGTCCTAATGCTTTTCTTTCTCATGTAAATGTCTACCTGTACTCTCTTCTATAAACTTGCACACATCGCTTAAGCCAATTGTAGTTAATTTCGATAACATTTTCGTGTTTGTGGCATTTCCGTAAAATATATTTTCTGACCTCGTGAACTTATCTCAGATTTTGGTAAACAACTTATTTCATATGCTCATTAATTTAAGATTTATGTCACCGTTTCCTTATGCATTACTCAATTTATTTTCTTTGTTATCTTCCTCTCAAGTGATTGGCTGTTGCTTTATATCCCCGGTGTGACTGCGCTTGATGTGCATGTTGACAAGGTGCCTACCTGTCTATTACCCACTACATCGTCCATACTGGCTCTAGGAGGCAATTGGTCGTTGCTGGAGGGGACGGGGTGCACGGTCCTTGTGGCCGTGTTAGGATCAAAGACCGCTTCCATGCACTCAGTGTGTAGCGGACTACGGTCCAGCCACCGCCTTGTATGCGCTTGATTCCCAAATACAGCGTGCTTGTGTTTGCCTGTGAAGGAGTGTGGGCCGGCTCCGTTGATGAAACGTGGCTCCCATCCACATGCCTCCCGGTCTTATTCCTTCGGGTTTACGCTGGATATGGGATGTGTGGATGGAGCTGTAGATGGTGCAGCGCAAGCCATCCATGGTCCCTCTGTAGGCGCAGGCGTCTTGTGGCTGGCCACAGTGACAGGCAAATCCGAAACAGGATGCCGCCAACCATATATGATCTGTGGTACAGCTACTGTGCCATCAGAATGTTGGATGAGTCGGAAAATATTGTGAAGAATAAAAAAAGAACAACAAAAACCGAAGGTTTTTGTCCAGTTTACTACTCACAGTTTTTGAATTCTTTTTTCAGTTTGTTTATAGGCGCCCTTAGTAGCAGCTCATGAAGATGTTGATAGAACTGGTCCTTGAATGCATCCGAGCTTCATTCACTGGGCGCGTAAACGAAAAGCTCACGCTTGTCTTCGCGTTGCCTGCTAAGCTTATGTTATAAACATCCTGGTTGGGTTTCGACTGTCCTAATCGGAACGGATGAACTTTTTACCCGTAGTTCTCTGCGCGCAAAATAGCCTAGACGATTCTTATGTGAACGGCTAGTGGACTTTGCCGGCAGACGAGAACTCGCATTTGATAAGGCTGACTGTACCGAGACCCGCAGAAAGAAGACAGACCACTAGTAAGAGTGCTTTAACGACTCAGACAAGGCAACCATGCTTTCTGCACCTTCATATTTATGGTTCATTAAAACAATATTAATTGTATAAACTGTAAGAGAAGGCGTATGTTTGTTGGCACAGGAGTTGCCACGTCGTTTTCCTATCTCCAGGCAGAGATTATGTGGGTTCGATGCTGTTGAGATGTTAGGCACAGCAGAATTAATGAGTGTGCTCGGTGGCTAATCATTAACATGAACTCGGCTCGGCAGACAAACGGCTGACTTGATGAGTGTCTGGGAGACAGGCGAGTTCAATAGAAACTGAGTACAACTCCGTTATTGTCTATGCAGTTGAGTGAACCCTTGGCGGCGGTTTCTGTAGGGAGAGCTCCGCTCTGAACTGGGTAGTTTGGGTCTCTGTATACCGACCGTGTTGTTCGGGCCCGCAGTGTATTGGTGCCTGTTAAACCCGGGTATGTTGTTCGGGCCCGCAGTGTACTGGCGCCTGTGAAACTCAAATGAGTTTTGCAAGGTAATGCCAGCTCTGTAACACCTTACAAGAGCCACAGAGCCTCACTGCGCAGAGGCGACTGTTAATTGCAATTCACTCAAGAAGGGCGGCCACGGCTCTAGCACTGAGGGCGATTCAAACACCAGGTTGCCCAGAGGCGGCGGACTCAGCCTCACCAGCGAGTCGAAGATAGACGCGGGTGTGTGGTTGGACGGGTGATGTCTGCTGGTAGAATGTGTTATAATTTTTGGAGTCGGGTTTCACTTAGGTAGCAGACATCAATTTAAGGGGTATCCAGCGTGCATGCAAGTCCAGCTTGCTGTCCGATCTGCAGTAATGTGCGCAGGTTGATGGGTTGCCAGTTTGAACTGCATTCCATGTCGCAATAGCGAGGAAAGCAGACTTCGGGGCTGGTAGCTCCCTCTTGAGGACTATGTGGTTGAGTTGACGGGTGGCGAGAAAACACCATCGGTGGAGGTAGGGTTGTTCACCGTTAAAGAATCAAGTAACAATGCTGATGAAGGATGCAGTTAAAGGGCATGTACATTGGTGGCTTGTATTTGTACATTTGGCGTAGTAACTGGACAGTGGAACATGAGAGCGAGGGAGGTCATAGTTGTGCGTATCCATGGTTCATTAGTAGTCGAAATACTGCCCCGTTGCCTAGGCCCAAGTAGCTGGTTGTCTTAGGGGACCACGGCCCCGAGCCTTTGATCGTAACGCCTGACCCACAAGGCAGCAGGGCGGAGTAAGGGTTTCACACCCATTGGGAGCCGGTGACTGAAGATTCATTTCATACGCTTTTCGGATGACGGAAGCCAATCCGGGGACCCAACGCCCTCGAAGGCAATTGCAGGGTCCAATGCTAGGATTGCTTGCCGGTATACCATGTCTGCAAGAAGACAAGGGGCAGTGGTTTTACTTAGTGGCGAGTCATATCCGCCACCTCACAGTGTTGTTAAACGGACAAATGTGTTTTTTATGAGAAGAACGCTTTCCAGGCGTAAACACGCCACGTCATGGAACACTACCGCCGAACCGGTTGGCACCACGAAGAAGTTGTTCGGAACGCCAGCCAGCGTTGTTTTTAGCGACCTGAGTATGGTTAGAGGAATAGCAGGGAAGTCAACCGATGACTTGATCAAGAGGAATGAGAGATCTCACTTGGAAGTTGGTACCTTCCGGCTCCTTGCATGACTTCCAAGGCATTGTAGGATGTGACACCCTATATCACAGTTAGCTTGTAAATCATGACGGTCCGCAGCTGTCCTCCATGGCTGCTGTCCTTCGAAACAAGCCGTTAGTGGTCATGAGTGTGGATACTGATGCATCCGATGGATGCGTGCTACTGACGAGACTCAACAGATCAAAACGACACGAGTTGAACTATCTGTTCTGCAGGCAACTGCGAAGAACCCCCTAACTATTTACTATATTATTTATCTTGTCCTTTACTTTATCCATTTCTTCCTTTTAGAGGAATTTAACTGTTAGTGTATTGCGGCACAATTACAGATATTTCTCACCTCTAGTTGGTATGTGTGGGGATGATGAATCTTGTCCGCTTCACGAGCTCACCTTCTTTTTATCTGCAGCTTTATATATGAGCCACTTTTTCTCTACGATCGCACATTGCCGTATACCGGACAAGATTCAAAAGTTCGGCCATTTCCTCGTACTCGATTTTGAAGCAACTTGTGCTAGAAATGTCAAGCTCATGCCACAAGTAAGATAATAAGCCATCATTTGATTGCTTCTGCTTTTATAGTTCGTATTCCAAGTTTTCACCTTTACGCTGTGTCCGTGCCATTTTTTATACTTTATCTCTGGTGTTCACTGAGGCATTTCAGTCCATCGTCCGCTACAAGAGAAGAGCCGTTTACTTTTTAGATTTATGAATTGCACGAAGCTGTACACACAGTGTGAGAAAGATATAGGACCAAAAAATATGTCCTATTCAACAAGCAACTCAGGTATGTAGGCTGGCAAAATCGGTAAATAAGTGAGCAATTTACATATCCTTCTTTCTGACATGATTATGGATTGGGAGATTAGTAGTGTTCAAGCCTCACGGTTACCCAGACCGCATGCTCGCCTTCTTACTTGTTCCTTAAAAAGTTCTGAACTATCAAATTAACAAAGGAGGTAGATTTAGAACACTTGAGCGTCCGTTGCTGTATGCGTGGTCGGATTGTCTGGGAGGTCCTTGGGGGACCAATAGGTCCACTGGACAGGCGCGGGCTTCTTGATGCTAATTTGCGTAAACATGCGGCATCTTTCCTCCCATTCTGGAAATTAACGTGGGATTGTTACGGGGTGCATCCATTTACTCTGTCTAGTCCACCAATGGTTCATATTTTGAAACTCTCACATCACGACATAATAGGAAAATGCGCAGGGTGGGCAGCTCGGTAGCGAAACTTCCGCTTTTGATTTCCTTTTGTAACAGAACTGCCTCCAGTAAGGAATAGTATTTATGGTAGTGTCAGAAAAAGCATGAATGAACTGTAGAGCTATAAAACAGCGAGAATGAACAACACTTGATCGGGATGACCTGAATTCAGATTATTTAGTGTCTTCCCAATCGACCGACTACAAACAAACAGTGGAAAAATTAGTAGGATCAATAGGAGAATCAATAAGACACAAAAAGTTTCATGACCATCGCCTGTAATGATGAGAAGCGCGCCTTACCAAGGCGAGGCGAGGCTGGCCACAAGGTGGAACTGTCTGCACAGGTTTGGCTTCAGTCGCGGGATGGCTGAGATCTCAGAACAACGAAGCAAGCTCAGCAAGGTGCAATAGGGCAGATGCTGGGCGATTGAGCTGGCATAGAGCTTCGGGCCACGCATTGCTAAGTTCGTAGAACATGATCCTTGATAATAGCCTTCTATCGGTTCGGCCAATGTATATGTTACCGCAAGTACAGCTCATTTGGTAAATACTTAGGGCGGTAGCCCGAGAGGCCAATCCAAGGCCAATCCAGTTCATGGAGCAGCTTCTTGGTCTGATGTAACAACATGGGCTCAGTTACGTAGCAGCACCTCTTACTGACATGAAGCAATCGATAGCAGAATCTTCTGTCGTTCTGTTCTGTTTTGTATCTTAGCGTAATGTAGACCATTTTCTTGAGATTATCCACTCGATCTCCACTTCTGGCAATCTCTTCCCCATATCTGGCGATAAATTTGTTGGGATAGCCATTATTACCTAGAGTAGATGCGATACATTGTACTTTTGTCTTGATGGATACTTCCGAGCATATTATGTGAGCTGGAACGAAACAAATGCTAACTGGGAATCGTTTGTAGTTCAAAGAACTACCTGTTATAATGTAGTTGCTCTCCGGTCCAGCTCGGTTTCCAGTAAACTGGTTTTTTAAACGAACCATCGGTTCTTCTAAACGCAGCGTCAAAGAAGCGAATTCCCTGACTCACTTTCTATAAGAGACTTGATATCAGGATGGCAGCTGTTTAACTTTTCCGAAGGGATTTTTTCTTGCAGGACAGTGTCAACTACTACAAAAGTGTCGTCAGTGTACCTTGCGTCAAACTGTGCCGCTTCAATAGCATCGCAAAATTTGCTATTCTCCAGTTGACCCATAAAGATGTCGGCTAAAATCGCTCCAACTGGGCTACCCATCGCTACTTCCTCAAATTGACAATGTATATTTCCGTCAAAACAAAATTAGACGTCTTCGTACGAATGCGAAGTAAGGTTTTTAATCGGTGTGCTGGCAGACCGACTTTGTCCTTCTCCAAAAGAACATTGGTGAAAAGGGAAGACATCGAAAGCTACCATGTGCTTACCTTGAACATGCATGTTCCGAACTTTGTCAACAAACTTAAAAGTGTGTTACATTATGCACAGCCAGCTCAGAACGAATATGCTCGGTGTCCCATTGATTCCTCTATTGATCCCTTCTCATTTGCACTCCTTTACTCCTTCCACTGTCTGTATGCGGCTGGTAGAGAAAGCACCATTAATCTGAATTTAGGTTGTCCCACTCTGCTTGAATGCAGATTGACCACATCGCTGTTAGTTACCGTTGGCGAGGCTGCATAACAGACTGCAAGTTAATTTGGATCACCTACCTGACTTTTGCTCATACACTCGTGTGTACTAAGGTCGTCCTGCGCTTTGCAGGCACCCAACAGCGTCGCCGGGAGCGGCTTGACACAGAAAAGGTCGCTGCTCCAGATGTTCTCTGCGCATTTTAGAACACATTAGACTCCAACCTGCGTTCTCTATTCTCCGATGTTGAGACACACGGCACAGATTCGGAGCGTACTACCAAAGTCCGCTACCTTGGTCTGTGACTTCACTAGATGAGCTGCTAGTCATTGGATCTCCACAAAATCTCTCCAATTAATTGTAAGCCGTGGAACAATTCCCGCCGGAGTTGCGTACACCACACTACGCATAACCAGAGGTGCTGAGCTCAGGCAGCTTCTGAGAAAGGATCTCGAGGTCTGGTGGACAACGCGTCGTTGAGATGGAGCGGGCAGCGTCATCAGTAACCTCCCGCAAACTCTTCCAACTTCCTCGATCCACCTGAGGCAAAAGGGCAACAGTGAGCGAGGTTTTGCGTGAAAATGACGGTGAGCTAATTCACAGTCGTCATCGTCCTCTGGTACGATAGGCACTTTGAAGATCAGTTCAACTGGCCGTCAGCACAGCCGAGTCCATCTTCCGGGATTCACAGTGCTCCCTGATGCGTTGATGTTTCTCCACCGACTGGGACAGATTTCCTATGAGCTTCGCCTAAAATGCCACAAGTCATTTGGCTCAGATGAAACTCCTTCTGCTCTCTTCAGATATGGGGGTCCTGCACTCACCCATGAACTGACATCTTTCTTTTATCAGATTTGGACTACTGAAACCATCCCATGCAACTGGAACATAGCGGATGTTTTACCAGTTTACAGAATAGCAGACCGGACCGTTTGCTCCAACCATCGTGGCATCAGTCTCATTTATGTCGTATCCAAACTGCACGCTGCCCTACTCTTGCGGAGGCTCAGTTGCGTACGGGAACAGCACCTGCGTGTACAGAAACCTGGATTTCGCTCGGTTCGCAGTCGCGTCGATCACATCCTTACGATCTGCTAGACAATTGAACATCGCCATACGTTCAGTCGACCAATCACAGTCATATTCTTGGATGTTCGAGTCGCGTTTGACTCTGTTTATCGAGTGACTTATTGGGACTGCTTACTGAAGTGGGGAGTACCGGAGAAGCACATCAGCATTCCCCGTGCCATTTGCCATCAAACTTCTGGCCGCATGCGGGTATACGGAGACTTCTCGTCTTCTTTCAGTATCACTAGCGGTGTTAGACAGGGCTGCCCAGCCTCTCCATTCTTGTTTAACTTCGACATGGACGAGATCCTGGAAACTACCCTGTAAAACTCTGAGTCCTGCGGCGTTGAACTGCTCTCTGTTAACCGACTTCGGGAATTGGAGTACGCTGATAACATCGCTGTGGTTTGTTAGTGCTCCCTGGCCGCCCAGCATGTGCTGCGTAGACTGGAGATATCCGCCTCCCAATTTGTGTTGACCTTTGCCCCTTCCAAACGTAAGGTCTTGTTACAGGACTGGCCAAGTGCATCTTCTTTCACCCTTTCAGGTTGTCCGCTGAAAGTGGTCGACAAATTCACTTACCTTGGGATTTGTGTTAGCATTGGCGGTTTGGCGGATGACATCTCCCTGCGTGTCTTCAGCGCTAAGATAGCTTTCGCTAACCTTCGTCATCTTTGGCTTCGTCATGACCTCAGCCTCTCTCTAAAGGAACGAGTCTACAATACTGCGGTACGAGCGCTTCTGTTTCACGCTTGTGAGATTTAGCCCGTTCCCAAAGGCGATGTTCAGCGGCTATCTGTCTTCAAGGTCCGCTGCCTACGAAGTATAGCTGGTGTTCGATGGCAGCATCACATCAGTGCTAAGGAAGTCCGTCGGGGCGTCTTCAAAACTGACAAACTCCGCCGACCGATTGCCAGCATCATTTCACTACGGAGGCTTCCCTGGCTTGGGCATGTGCTCCGCATGCCTACCCAGCGGCTACCAAGACGTGCCCTATTTGCGAGCGAAGGCGTGGGATGGAAGCGATGATAAGGAGGTCAGTGCACAAACGTCGAAGCTGGTTGTTGTTGGTCATTCCCGATTCCCGGGTTAGGGACCCAAGGACCCCAAGCACGTCCCGTTGCAAACCCTACTGAATATGGCCAAGGACCGTACGCAATGGCGCATTTGCTGTGAGACTCTTCCACCCAACAGTGGTTTTTCCTTTCAATCTCTTGTATCTCCCTTATGTGTTGTTTCACTCGGCCAATTGTAGTGCGGTTGCTTGGCAATCAAGTTTGGCAGACGGCAGACGTAAAAGCGAAGTTCTGACACTTTGCTTGATTTCTACGTGCATTCTCAACGGATCGCGGACTATTACATACCATTTAATCCCGTTTTGCGTCCTCTTTCCAAAATCGGAACAAGTTCTGAAGGACATCTGACGGTTCTTACAAAAACTCTGCAAAACCTTCCAAATCACTCCGTGCTCCACTCTGCAGTGGATTTTTCCTTACACATCTCAACGTACATCAACCAAATCCCAATCATTCGGCTCGGAATTATCAGCTCTATTCAACAACCACTTGGTCAGCTCCATACCATCGCAATCTACAACTATTGGCGGTTAAATACATTAACCGGTCGTTTACCAAGTTTTCTGAA